GGGGGTCCTGGCAGCCTGTCCCTGCTGGTGTCCCCAGGCCAGTGTCCTTCCCTGTGGAGGGGTCCTGGGCTGGGGGTCAGCTCCGGGGTCACAAGGTATTGGAGATAATCCCCCCAGTCCACCCGAGCCCCGACCCAGCCCTGGGCTGCTGACCTGCTGAGCGCCTAAGTGGCTGAGGCTGGCCTCTACCTGGCATCCTCCTGCCTCAGCCTCCCGAGGCCCGGCTCAACCTCCACCCTTGCCCACCTGCTGCCTTGGGGACTGAGGACCTCCTCGCTTGCAAGGGTGACCATCAGCCTCCGGGGACACACGCGGTGGCTAAGGCCCCACCAGCTCTCAGGACCAGTATCCGGCCAAGAGGACCAAAGCCGCAGAGCCACCAGCCACCACACAGCAGGTCACACGGCAGAGGGACACAGAGACACCTATCGCGGGACCCGCCCACGCACAGCCACGCGGCCATCTGCCAGGTCTGGCTCTGGGGCACTCCGCGCGCGTGCGGGTGACAGGGGTGTCAGTGGCTCATGCGCTGTCCCCAGGTGAGGAGTGTCCTACACTGTGGAGGACCCTGCCCGGCACCCCTGGGGACCGAGCTCCAGGTGGACCTCCCCAAAAGGGGGAGGGGGACCCGTGGGGTCCCCTCTGCCTCTGGCACCGCAGCCTCCTGAGCACGGCCCGACCTTGGGGGGCTGGTTTCCCCCGACGCCACGCAGGGCAGAGCCTGGGGGGACTGGCCACCTGGAGCCCAGCGTTGGCCAGGCCTGTCCCCCACCCTGGGTGGCTTCTCAACTATGCTGTGAGGAAGCTGGTCCCCAGGCTGAGTGGGAGCACTGAGTGGGACTCCTCTCCCTCTCTGTCCCCTCTCTCTCCTCTCTCTCCCCCTCTCTCTCCCTCTCTCTCTCTCTCTTTTGGTCCCAGGGATTGAACCCCAGGTCCCTTGACCCCTGAGCCCCATCCTCAGCCCTTTTCATATTTTATTTAGAGACAGGGGCTCCCTGAGTGGCTTAGGGACTCACTCAGTGGCTGAGGCTGGCCTCCAACACGCGATCCTCCTGCCTCAGCCTCCCGAGCTGCTGGGCACCCTGGCACCTGGCTGAGATGCGGCTTCCCTCAATCAGTCCCCTGGGTTCC